GAGTGAAAATAAGGGTGTAAGATGACAATCTTATTATTTCCGGATATTAACAAGAATCGGCATAACTAATGTTAGACATTAGAGACGTGAAAAAAACAAGGATACCGTGGCCAGTCCGTATGGGGTCCACTTCAGCATAAGGACAATCATGTCAAAATCATTCTCGCCAATCAGGTATATGTGGTTAAGAGGGGAATATGGAATCCAGGCTGATGATTTGAGATAAATAGATGTTTGCCCCTTTTTACTGAAATGTTCACATGCGAGGGCTATCGTGGTTTAGACGAGTGTAGAGGCTGCCGACTGCGACTGTCCAGTTTTCGTACAGAGAGATCAGTTTAACGGTATTTTGTGGCAGTTGGTAACCGTGTTTTTTGCCGTTTAGCTAAGCTTGGTTATGTTAACAACACCTGAATTTGAGGTTCAGCAACGATACTCATGTAAACATTCAAGAAGTCAGATTCGGCAGACGTAACTTTTCGATTATAAATAACCAAATCTGCACAATAATATAAGGAAGGTTAAAGTAACCAAATTTTTTTGGTAAGGATGAGTTATATGGCCACTTGTACAGGGCACGGGAATAGGAACGCCTCGCCCAATTAAAATACGTGACCCTGAGATAAATTTGGAGAAATGTAAATAATCCTGTATCTTAACCCTAATACTAACTACAGTAGTCGCCGGCTATTAAGCCCACGGTTAATAAGCCCAGCCGCCTATTAAGCCCACTTTGGTCTGGGCCCGAGGTGAGCTTAATAACCGGCGACTACGGTATTAAGCCCACGGTTAATAAGTCCAGCCGCCTATTAAGCCCAAGTTGGTCTGGGCCCGAGGTGGGCTTAATAGGGGGCGACTACTGTACCTACTCTTAACCCAAGCCTTACAGTTAACACGGACCTGACTTTAACCATCAGATTAATCCTGATTTTTAGGGGATACTCAAAAGTTCATTTTCATATCTTTCAATAAAATGGACTGGGCTGGCCCTAGCTCCCCAAATCTGACCTTAAGTCCACTCTTGAATCCTTCTGAAATTTATCGTAAAACCACATAAACTGTGGGCCTTTCCTCT